TTTTTTTTTTTTTTTTTTTTGTCTGCTTTCCTTTACTTTTACGTATGTTGTCTCTTCTTTTTCCGTTAGTTGTAATTTTTGGGTCTTTGTTCTAATTTTTGTGTCTATCGGAAACGACCTCTTTACCTTTCCAGACTCCACTTGTGGAATTTTAGCTAATCTGTCAAATTTTGCTGCTAACGGCTAACTAGTAACTGCATGACATATGTCCTTTTTAATTAACATGTATGTAGCATACTATACAATATTTGTCCCTTATATACACTTTATCAATTTAACCATAGCTAACTACTTTATATTCTCTTAGAATAAACATCAAGCGTGGATAACTCTTTTTTTTTTTTTTTTTTTGACAGTCGAATGCATCAAGGTCGTCCAAACTATGATCTCATTTTATTAAAACAAGTCCAGCTTTTACATTGAGTGAAGTAATTAGCTAATGATCGTAGATATTATAGTTTTATTTCTTAACTTCTCTCTCATGAGAAAATCCTATTGTATATTTTCAACTATATATAGTGCCAATTAAACTTTCATCAAAAAGAGGGAAATTAGATATGGTCTCAACTTGCATTACTTGATATATGCAACCGGATTATTTAAATCTCTTCTACTAATTTTCTTTAGTGTGTAAACACTACCTTACTTAGTTAACTTAAAAAACCAGTGAAATATATACTGTCTTACTCAGCTTTGTATGGTATACTGGGAGTATCAGCAAAGATTATTTGAATTTGAAACTTCCAACTAGGCATTTGAATTATACAATATGTGGTTGAAGTTGAAAAAAAGAAAAAAAAAAGTAATTTGCTGTTTTTTTTTTTTTTTTTTTTTTTTTTTTTTTTTTGCATTTTGAAAAGCGAATGCCAAAATTGAACTTTCTCTCTGTAGGATGAGATTTTCTCTCAGCCATAGCGGAACATGACAAGAGAATAAAAAACTGGAGGAGGAAGCCAGCAAGCAGGAGGGGTAAATCAAAGCAATTTGGAAGGGAAGAAGGGAATTCCCCAATTGGCAGATGCGAAAAAGATGAAAAGTGTGAACGTTTTGTAAGGGATAGTTTCAATTGATTTGAGTCAGAAATCAACTACGAACGTACCGGTGAGAACACCAAGCGTGCATATGCAGAGAACACCAAAGAAGGCAATGAGTTCAGGAAAATCGTCAATGGGCATACATGGTTGAGGAAGAGGCAACCAATGGAACAGAAAATGGTAAAACTCAAATCCTAGGCCTCAATTTACCTAATTCATGGAGTAAAGTTGTAGGATCGCCAATTCTCTCTCTGTTTAGCTCCTTAAGGTATCTTTTCAGCTTGTTAAATTTACCAACAAGTTGGTACATCTTCCTTCCTGGTATACATGGCTGCCACCTTTCATTGACCCAATATTGGAATAGTAGTGATAGACTCCACATATTAAAGTACCTAAATTGTTTCCCTTTGTGTAGCATCTCCTCCTCCCAAGGCAGTGATCAAAGATCCCCTCATTCATAAAGTGTACCTTTGATGCTGGTAATTCAATTATCCATTCATAATTTGTTAATAGCCTGTTTAACTTATTACAAACTTTGTTATTTTCTTGTTGCGTATTGTTCTCGATGTAGTAGGATCCTGATGATCTAAGATCCTGCAACCCACATGCCTCAACACAATGCGTAAAATCTCTTACTTCAGCCATGACATGCCTTCCAACCCTTTCTTCACCTCTCAGAATACAGTTAAAATCCCCCATGACTGCCTATGGTCCTTTAACCCTGTTGTTTAGGTCCATTATGGATTTCCTTAAACTTTTACGAAGTGCTTGAAACCATACACCATTGATATGTTAAGACACTTCATGTGCCTCTATGTTGTACTTCACAATGAATTGTTTGTTCTTCAACCAAGCAGACATTTACATTGAATGTCATTGGCTTCAAAACTAACCATATTCTCCCACCTTGGTGTGCTTTAAATTTGTTGTAAACGACCAACCACTAGAAAGATTAAGAGCTATTTTATGAGCTTTTTGTCGCTTATTCTTTGTTTCTAGGGGTCCAAATACGCTGACATTGGAGTTATGCATAAACACCTGCATCTCCTTCTGCTTATCAATCCTATTTAGACCCCTTGTGTTCCAAAATCTAAATTCTATCCATTGGGGTTGAGATTTCCCTCACCCCTACCATATCCAGGGCATGTATCACTCCTTCTACTGTCTTGAACACCTTGTCTAGTGATCTATAGACTCTCCCCTGCTTCTTCTGTGTTTAAACTAGCAAATGAATTGCTTGTAGTTGTACCACCTTTCTCAATTCTATTTTTCTGTGGGCTTGGTAATTTCTTAACTTCCCTTTCTTCTTCTTTTGTTGCTCTGCATTTTGCCCAGCCTTTATTCCTTGCACTTGTGTTGTCTGATTTCCTGGCCCAATCTCATAGTTTGTCTTCTCCCTTGTTCCTGCTTGCGGGTTAGTCCCCACGTTAATAGGACCCTGATGTTGTCTCTCTTTTGTCATTTCTTCTCTTTGTTGTTTTCTGCAATTCACTATTTCATGCCCAAAATTCTTGCATTTGGTACACAATATAGGTTTCCATTCTTACTCTACCATTTGCTCAACAATCCTTCAATACTCATTTATAAACATCACCCATGATGGGTACTCTTGGTTCAAAGGAATTTCCACTAGCACTCTTGCATATGTCATTTTGTCCCTGTTAGTCGTTGCTTTGTCTGCCTTCAGGGGAGTGCCAACAAGGCTTGATATCAAGTCCTACTAGTCTTATCCATATTGATACCGTATCTACCTTCTCTTTGGTAACATCATTGTCTGTTTTCCATGGCTTTACCACAATAGAATTCCTATCAAACATTTGCACTTCCTCTTCTATAGCTTTTTCTCTGTCATCAACATTAGTGAACCTCACTAGGAACACCCTACGATTTACTTGTGCTGTCTTATCAATTCCCTTCCCTTTCCAAATTCTTTTGAAAAAGCCTTCCATTACCATTTATGGAGGATTAGACCCGAGAACATGATTTAGTAATGTAGAAAGTCAAGCAGATAGAGAATTGGATAAACTATGTCAATGTCAGACCAAACTACAAAAAGATGCAAGAAATATCACACTGATAAAGGAAGAGATGAAGTTAGCACAGGAGTATCAGGAGTGGAAACTAGCAAGAGATAAGTTTATAAAGCAGAAGTGTAAGGTGCAATGGTTGAATTATAGGGACATGAAAACAAAGTTCTTCCACAATGCAATTGTAACGATCCGATCGTTCGTTCTGAGAGTTATAGCCACATTTCCCCCATCTATGCTTATTTATATGTTGTTCAGCTGTGTTGAGTTGTATCGAGTTGGTAGGTTTGGGTTCGGAGTAGTTTTGGAGTGAAATGATCACTTAGTCTCTTAATTAGAAAGTTAAGTTAGAAAAGTCAACCGGAAGTTGACTTATGAGTAAAAGAATTTGGATTTGGATTTTTATGATTCGATTAGCTTCGTTGAGTGATTTTAGACTTAGAAGTGTGTTTGGAATATAATTTGGAGGTCCGTGGTAGAATTAGGCTTGAATTGGCAAAAGTTGGAAGTTTAAAAGTCTTAGGCTCGAATTCGAGGTTGATTTGGTGTTTTGGTGTTGTTTTGGATGTTCCGGAGGTTCGACTAAGTTCGGGTAGTGATATATGACTTGTTGGAATTATTGATTGAGGTCTCGAGGGCCTCGGGTGAGTTTCAGAGAGGTTTGAATTGTGTTGTGCTCGTTTTTCTTATGTTGCGACGCCGTTTTTTCAAGCATAAATGATATCATATTGAACAAATGAGCTCCGATTTCTTTTTTGATTGAAACATTAGATCCGTATCGTAATTATGGACCCGTAGCAAAAAGAATGGTCGAATTTGGACATCGTATGAGGATTTTATGGTCATTTTACTAAGAATTAGGTTGCCAGATTTTTCAGATTAATTACGAAATTGTCACTGACAGCGTATTTAAAAATCTGCACTATTTGCAAATATTAAAACCTACATATCTCCTTCATTATTAGGTCAAATTGAGTGATTCAAAAGCCTAACTTGACTAGAATTTCACAAGGAATC